GACCAGGGGACGTCCATCATTGACACGCAGCGGCCAGAATGGAGAGGGCGGTGCTTATCAGGGTGAGGGCGGGGTTTATGGTGCGGTAGGCTGTCAATCAGGGAGAGAGCAGCGGATGAATGGAGGAGGCGCTGTCCCTCAAGGAAAGTTTACGGTCTGACTGGAGGAGGAATGGACGTCACTGTCGAAGGGTGGGGAATGTAGGTCGGCCTGCTGTTAATCAGGGGCATCCCGCCTTATAGTTGGTGGAGAGGGTCTGTCCATCAAGCAGAGCACGCATGCCCATTGGACAGGTTCCTCCGCGCGTCAACGACGGCCGAAGCTGATTGGAGGAAACCGGAAGGGTCCCACTGAATACCTGTCATCTGATTGGGAAAAGGGAATGTCGTTCAAGGAGAAGGACAGAGCGGGAAGGCGGGGCCGCCAAGGCTCACAGGCGGTGAATGGACAGCCGAGCTGTCAATCACGATTTCCAACATCTGATTGGTCAAAGCGGCACGTGTGAGGGGCTGGATCACTTGTGTGATATCTCTGCCCATTGGGGAATGAGCGGGCCGTCACACGCACGAGCTCGACGCCGAATGGTGGAAGTAGGGGTCGTGGGAAGGGTCTAAGCGGGATAAGCGCTAGTCTATTGGACGACGCCGCTGTCAGTCAGGACGGGAGGTCCAACGATTTGAGGAAATGGACGTCAGTCAGGAGGTGGGCGTAGGAATGGAAGGCCACGCGGGCCGGTGAATGGAGGAGGGAGACGTCGGTCAGAATTCGCTTGACGGCGATTGGACGATCTGGCCGTCATTCCGGAGGAGTGGGCGGCACTGGAGTGTGTGGAAGGCGCCGGTTGGATCAAGTGTCCGTCCGTCAAGCCGAGGGGGCGGACACCGGTGGAGGAGCCGGCGGCGATTGGCGGAGGCGGCCGTCCGTCAGGCAGGGCGGTCGGCGATTGGCCGGTACGGTGCCGCGGCAGGGACCCGCCTCGTTCCCCCGGGCAGGGAGCGGCAGCAGGAGGCGCCGGGCCCGGCGTGAGCCCCGTGTAGGCCTCAGGCTCCAGGATGTCGGCCAAGGCCCAGATGCGGGAGATGCTGGACCAGCTGATGGGGACGGGGAGGGATGGTGAGAGTGTGGGAGGGAGAGAGATGGAGAGGGGGATAGGGGAGAGAGGGAGAGAGAGAGAGAGAGAGAGGGATAGAGGGAGAGGGAGAG